CACTCACTCTCACTCTCACTCACACTCGCACTCACTCACACTCACTCCCACTCTCACTCACACACACTCTCACTCTCACCCACACTCACTAACACCCACACTCCCTCTCACCCACACTCACTCACACCCACCTTCAATCTCACTCACGCTAACTTACACTCACACTCACACTCACTCTCATTCTCACCCACACTCACACTCCCTCTCACCCACACTCACTCACACCCACCTTCACTCTCTCTCACACTAACTTACACTCACACTCACACTCACGCTCACTCTCATTCACCAATGAGCAAAACCTGATGCACCTGGCTAGTGGCCATTCGGGGCCAGCTATCACTAGTTGCATGCCAGTGATGCACAAAATTTCTGGCTAGAGGGACCTGGGGATGGTCAGGGAGGGGAGGTCGCCCCCCATCACTTTACGCAGCACCCTCCCTCTTCAACCAACACCTGAAGAATCCTCGGCGTCAGCTGCTGCGCTGCCCTGAGCCGAGCGGCACCTTCCGGACCAGCTCCAAGGGCTGCTCACCACCGACCACGAAGACCACCGCTTGGCCTGACGCAGTTGGCGCAAGTTGTACTACAAAGTTGCCAGTTCTCAGCTTCCAGCTTTTAAGAGATTGCTCCGCGTACTGAAGTTGCGCTACAAAGTCGCCAGTTCTCATCTTCCAGCTCCCCAGATACTCCGCGTACTAAAGTTGTACTAGAAAGTCGCCAGTACTCATCTTCCAGCTCCCCAGATACTCCGCGCACTCAAGTTGTACTACAACAAAATCGCCAGTTCTCAGCTTCCAGTTCCGCAGATTGCTCCGCGCACTAAAGTTGTACTACAAGGTCGACACGCGCGATCTCCGCAAAGGGTTGCGCCGGACCGGGCCAAAACGTACTCTCGCCTGCATTTCGCGCCCTCGACACACACGATCTCCGCAGAGGGTTGCGTTTCGTGGTGCTCCGGCGGCCTCGCCCCCGGCCGGGAGAGAGAAAGTAAAGAAGTGCGAGAGGTGAAGATGTGAGATGTAGATGTGAGGATGTGAAGCTGAGCAGAGATGTAGATGTGTGAAGATGAAGATGAGCAGAGATGTAGATGTGAGGATGTGAAGATGTAGATGTGCAGATGTGATTGCAGATGTGAAGATGAGCAGATGTTTAGATGTGATGTAGATGTGAGAATGTGAATGTAGATGTGCAGATGAGCAGAGATATAGGTGACAATGTAGATGTGCAGAGGTGAAGATGTGAAGATGTAGATGAGACGTAGTTCTGCAGATGTTAACCCTTCGCAGACGCTCTCGGGAAAAATGCGAATACAATGATAAACATTTAATGTCAAAGCGGCGTCTTTGTGAGTCAGGCAACTGGCGAATGCCAATGTTGCTCCAAGGTCCATGACAACCTCGCCGGCCAGCTCTTCTGGCTTGCCAAGTTTAAACTTCTTCTTCAGGCTTTTCAGCATGCTAACTTCACGCTAACTGAGCTTTTCTGACTGCGGGCAGGAATGGACCAGGAACCGTTCCAACTTCGGCATCATGTCAATCGGGCTTGGAAAGGTGAACGGCTCCAATCTCTTATCATCCCGTCTCTGCACGGCGACCAAGTACAGCCTCTCTCTGTTATGTGGCAAGCCATGCTGACAAGTGTTCACGACTTCCGCTTTGCGCGAGTAGTTGCAATTGCGGAGGAACTTCACAATCTTGTCCAGGATGCGCTGGTTCTTGGAATGAATCAACCCTTTCACATTTTCCAGCACTAAGACTCTGGGACGTCGCAGCACCACATATTTCAATGAATGGATCAAGACAGCTCCTCGCTGGTCTCTCAACGCCTTCTAATAAGGAGGCATGGCGTTCCTGTCACGTAAAGGTCAACCTGGGGTGTCACTTCTGGGTCACGTGTTGCAATGTCCCCGGTGACCTTTGGTGAACATCCAAATCACGCATGCATAGCCTTGCTCATGGCCAGCTTGGAGCTGTCGATTTCTCGTCCTCAGCATGGCGGAGGCCGTAGATGCCACGTCCGCCTCCTGGTTGAGTCGCTCCATGTCAGGGCTACTGACTGTAGCCGCGTCCTCAGCCCCGTCGGCTGGTTGAGCTTCGGTGAAAGTTTCGAGCGTCACGTACTCGGACTCCAAAGGATGCGCCGTTGCGATGCGCGTGAGGAATGAAAGACCTAAGGGTCACGAGTTTCACAAAATCACCGTTGGCAACTCACACGAGGTTGCCACACAACTTGAGCCAAAATGTCCCGGCGGGACATTTTACTGAATTTTCGTGAACATAAACTTGCAACCGCAAGCTCAATGCAAGTGTGAATGAATCTCGGTTTCCCCCAACCATAGAGTAGTTCCACTCAGCAGAAAGGCATCTATGTATCTGAACCAAGATCTGGACATTCACCATCTCCAACTTGCTAACCAGCTCGTTCAAAGGGAAGCCGTCCTAGTTAGTTAGTTGGACACAGAAGGAATTTACACTTTCCATGGCCATCGACGGTCCTGACACTTTTGTTTCAGAAGGAATTGGATAGCCTTTTGTATTGCCTGATAGGAAGACAACACGCCCTTCAAACGTGAATGAGTACAGACTCCCAAGCATGCACATTTCAGCCTTTTCGCGCTTTCCTTGCCTTTCCATTTCCTCTCGGTCCACCTGTCATCAAATCTGTAGCGTTCCCTGACTTGTTCAAGACAGAGCTTCTTCATCTTTGGCTCAAACTGAAATCCTAGAGTCCCCTTTCAAGCTGCTTGACTTGGAGAGGGTGTGTAAGTGTGCAAGTATGACTATGACAGTAATGACGCAAACACAAAACAGTCAACAAAACAAACAAAAGTTGCTTGCGTGTCAAGTTCAAGCGTCAAACATACACAACACAATTTTGCTGGTTGCCAGAAGGCATACCCTCTGTTTTTTCAATTGAAAGACACTGTCCAACTGGAAACAAATAATATAAAAGAACCATTGAAACATGTTGCACTAGTTTGAAGGCACGGTGATCGAGTACGCAAGTACTGTCAGTGGAATTGGAGGTTTCACTTTTAGAGAAAGCAGCTAGAGGAATTGGAGTGGGGGGGCGGAGACGTGCAACAAAAGATGATTTGGCTTTCTGACATTGCTAGCCAAATCATTCACGATGCCAATGCAACTCTGTTTTCGGTTGGTTTGGATTGGTTTTCTTGGCCTGGTCTTCTCAATAGTCCCTGAGCAGCACCTCTTGTGCTCAATTGGATGCGCTTGCAAGCAAACGCTTTTTGACATATGCATCGGCATTTTCCCTCATATCATATTCATTTTCCAAGAGAGCTTTCCTCCAGGAGCCTTGTCTCTAATGTGCCACTTACAAAAAATATAAAGTGACTGCAAACAAGTCAATAGATACGCGAGAATAGGCTTTGTGGGGGGTAGAATCTGCATGCCATATGTATATATATACATACTTATATAGTCCTACCGGGCATTATGGTTGTACAAATTAGGATGCGGGCCAGCAGAGCGTGCTCAGAACTTTTCTGCCATCTTTGAATCACTAGTTCGATTCAAAGCTTCCACGAAGAGTCTCAACAAATTCTGAGACTGGGACCCAAGTTCTCTGTATATCTCTGTATACTACCAACTAACTTGGATGACGGACATGCAAGCTGCAAATACTGGTGCATGCTAGTGCAAGCAAAACGCTGGTGACTTGCTGATGTCTCATTAGGCGAAAAAGAGTCGAGGCAAATCATCCAAGCTTGGACTAGATTTCATGCATCAGATGAAGAGATGCCAGCGCATGTCTCAAATGCAGGGGTCCTGGAGGGCTGTGCCATGAGCCGCTTTACAATGTAGATTTGAGCTACCATGACTATTTTAGGATATTTTAGGCATTGACATTTTGCACCAGAGGTTGTCCTGGTGAGCTTTGTTGACAACTTGGCCTTGTTGGTGGAGGAGGCACAAATCCTTCAAGAATTCCTGGCATTGTGGCAATTCGACCTGGATGCCAGAAACAGAAAAAACAGTCACACGTGCATTGGCCACTCTGGGTTTTGAAGTCAAGCGCCATGCAGGAGATTTAGGAACACAACGCAGCTACTCAGGTCGCCGGCATTTTGAGGTGCAGTTGCAGAGCTCGAGGTGTTGTGGCCAAGATTGAAACATCAATGATTTGTCATTTTACAATTTGCCAAGCTGCGAGACCGTACCTGGGGCTATTAGTACGTACTACAAAGTTGAAATTGTTCAAACACTTGTACTTTGCGGTATCTTTTGTAAAACCGCAATTTGTATTTTCTAATTCTAGTCCTGCCTGCTCTCCATCTTCATCTTCATCATCATCGTCATCCTCTTCTTCTTCTTCATCATCTTCTTCTTCGTCGTCTTCCTCATCATCCTGCACGATCACGGCCTCTTCTGCAGCCTTTGTCAAGGGGTTGCAACAAGGATGTATGTAGCGCAACGCGCCAGCAGAATTTGTCCTCTGTGCGAGCAGAGCCTGTACTCCACTCGAAGTATAACCTCCTTTTCCACTTTCCTTGGCCTCAAGTCAGAGGTCTCGACGAAAAACGTTGAAAAGGACAACAAACAAGCGAGAACTCACTATATGCAAGGCCGCAAGGCAATTGCAAAGAAAACCAAGCACCTCAGATGCTACTTTGGACGCAAGCTCCTGGCGACCAGCTGGCCATAGCCAGTGCAACATATCGATTCAAGAGGCAACCTTCGATTCAATCATGCAAATCCTCCAAACTGCAGGCGGACTCAAGTTAGGCAACTGTCGACAATAGGACCATAGGATGCAAACAAACAAGAAAAACATCACGGAAACTAGGTGAAAAAAACATGCCGGAAACTGGGTACAGTAAGAATGCTCTGGGCCTTTGTCCAGGCGCAAGTTGTTTGATCTTTGGGGGCGCGGAAACATTTCATGTTCATCTTAGTTATAAAACTATGCGTCCCAACACACTGAAAAGTTGGCATTGCTGCCCGCCCTTTCCGGCATAGATGGAGGTCTAAGACTCCGGAAAGAAGGGGTGTGCGTGGGTTGAGGATGACAAACAATTGAAAGAGAGAACTCTTGCTCGTGTTGTTTTGCGGGCGCTCTAGCCCTAGTGTTCAGCGCTGAAATCATACCTCGGCAATCCACCCTCATACTGCGCATCAATGGTTCCATGGACTAGCTCAAACGCAAGTAGGAGGAGGCCCAGGAAGACAGAAGAGCAAGGAAGGTTTGTCACACAGTTTGATAGTGAGCCACGTCTGGAGCTAGATTCAAGGTACTCATCATTCCTCTCCGAATAGAATTTTGACATGTCTTATGGCATCTTGGTCAAACATCGTAAGCTCCTGCTGGAACACGATCAGCTTTTGGACAAGGTCTTCTTTGGAACCCTTCTTTCCAAGGCCTACTGACAGCATTCTTCTTCCCATGAAATGCACAATGTGAGCAACATGTCACAGAGGCATGTAGGGCGCTCTGTGAACGGGATTTAACTGATGTAACAAACTTTACAAAAACTGTTCCATCCATGGCGCAAGCCAACACGACACGACGCGACCTTTCTCGCCGGACCTAAACGCCGATCCAAATCAGACCAAGATCTAAGGGCTAGACAGCGGCGCATGAACAGTGGAAAGACGCCCACCCAAGCAAATGCTCACTTCAACAGCGAGTCTCGTTTTCTTGTTGCTTTGCTGCACAGAACAGCCCCTTTCGCCCCAAACGCCTTCTGCCAATTGGAGAGGTTCTCGAATTTCATGTCCTCTTCGAGGATCCGCCACTCTGAAGCTCTGGCCGAGTGATCAAATTGGCGAAATGAACTCCGGAATGGGAATTTCTTTACATCCACTCGAGGGACAGGGGACCTGAAAGACTTAGCATCTTTGGTCACTTATTGGATGGCCGTGTCTCCGTCAGACAGCTGATGCAGAAAAGGAAAAATGGGGTGGCTTTCACTCAAAGGCTGCAGCTCAGCAGGGCTTGGTGCATCTTTCACCTTCGTCTTCTTCGACTTGCCCTTGATGAAGTCCGTGTGGAACTTTATGGACCATCGGCCACGGGTGAATGCATCACGGAGGTGGCGCGTGTCCATGAGCTTCGTCCCTCCGTCGACCAGCATATTTTCTGTTGCCGTCCATTCAGGCTTGTCAATGGCCGCCTGAGGACAGATCTCATCCAAGCTAACAGCAAATGCCAACGACTTCTGGTTCCCGAAGGTGGTCTCGGAGTTGCACTTGTCAAACACATTCTTCGCATGAACCACAACGCGCAAGGGAATCAAGGCCATGATGCTGTCGAAGTACCTGTTCTCCATAGGGAGCCCTAGAGGAAGCCACCGTGCCGCGGGTGAACTGCCCACCGTCGAATCCTTCCTCAGCGCCCGACAGCTCAGCGTAGGTGCTCCGACAAGCTCTCTCGGAAGTCTGTGAGAAGGAGCGTCCAAATGGCTAAAACCGCCTTCTCCTCCACGAAGTAGTGAGGCTTCAGCCAAAATCACCATGTAAGCCGATTGGCTATATACCTCATCGGCAGTCGTTCCCAGAGCGGAACCTGTCTTGGCGATGTTCCCCAACGACGAGTCCGTGATGACAATCACGCCAGAGTCTTCAAGCTCCATCGGCCGGAAAATCAGGCCTAAGGCTGTAGTCAGTTTCATCTGTTTGAGCAAGAGTTTCGCTGTCATGAGCGTTCCAACTGTGTGGGGCTGTTCGCCTTGCAAGGCGCTCAAGGCGAAACCTTGGTCCACCCTCACTTGGGCCACCGTGAACCAAGCAAGGCACGTAGTTGCTTTTGCTCACCAGGTGTATGACAGCCGGGCGCATATTCTCATGGTATTCTTTCGTGGAAACAGTGATCACGCCAGTTTCAACATCCTGAGCAACGCGCTTGCCGCAGTAGTTGAAGGTGTCACGCTCAACTGAACCGAAGCCAAGTGCCTTTTCCAAAGCAAAAATGCGGTCACCAGCTTTCTTGCCACCGCCAACCAGGAGGTCGTCCGCGTGCGACAAACAAACGCCAAGCAGCTGTGTCCGCTCGGTGTCCCAAAGCATCCAGCAAGCGTCGAGGAAGTTGCGCGCCCAGCCAAGCTCAGTCAGGGCTCTGTGAAGAGGCAAGTACCACTGCCTTGGAGCGTCGCTCAGCCCAAACACACCCTTTTTCACATGCGCCAGGCATCCAGCGCCAAAAGGAAGTTGAGGTTCACCATGTTGGCCACGAGTGTTCTCGATGAAGAGCTCGCGAGAGCCACCCATGAACGGGTGTCCTTTCAAGAATGCTGACTTCGCATCGCGTGACATGAGCTGCCAAGCATGTTCCTTGAAGCGGGAAGCTGTGTAGGTGAACACAATGTGCTGTGCCAGGCGGGAAGCTGTCAGCGCATCTTTCCGCAGGCTGAAGGACAAAATGTCTTTGAAGCCAGGAACAACAAGCCGTGCGCTTGGTTTGATGCCTAGGTTGTTCTCTTTGGCGCGCAAGCCATCGCGCTTGTCCGTGAACACCCAACGAGGTGTGAGAATCTTGCAGTCCTCACGCTTGCTCTTGCGCTCAGCACGAATCTTCCGGGAAGTCTTCTCGTCGAGGACCTCAACTACATCATTCGTCACTCAGACGCTCCAACCAGTCTCAGCTGCACCGCGAAAAGCTCAGGCGTCGTCGCCCGCCAGTAGTACTCTTTCCGCGTGCGCAGCCAAAGTCTCGTTGGCATCGCGGCGGCGTGGCCACATCAAGCCAAGACTCTTTCGAGCCTTCCACTCTGAGCGCCAAGGGAGTCCCCAACGTCCATCTCGAGTGCCATGATCATGTACTTGAGCATCAAGAGGATTCGCACGGTCAACGCAGGCCTCACAGTAGAGCTTGAGCAAAGGATGCACCCCTTCTCAAGGACAGGATATCCTCCTCGCTGACCACAAGAGCGTCATTGAAATGCAAAGGCTCTTGCGCAGGACGTTCAAAGGCAGCTTGCTCAGCTGCTTGGCTACGAAGCTCTTCAGGCCCAATGTCAGCAGGACGTTTGTCCAGAGCTCTAGCCCGTTGAATTTGTTGCTCCAACCTCTGAGGCGCATTCAAAGTCGTTCCACCAGCAGCGGAACTAGCCGCCAGACCCCCAGTCCACATAGGCGCCGTCAAAGGTGTAGCCTGTCTCGTCAAGGGTGTCGTCAACTTCGACGTCGTAGTACCCACCTGCGAAGGCAAGTGCGAACCAGCGAAGTCCACGCCAGCCTGCGTAGCTCCACAACAACTTCTTGAGGCTTGACAGGCGGTAGGTCTCGAGGAAGTGAACTCACCGTAGAACTCGGCAAGGGCGGAGTTTCGCTAACGTGAGGAAAAGCCGGGTTCACCATCATAGCACAAGATGAGGAACTTGTTCAGGAAGACACCAGATCGAGTGACTTCATGCAAAGCGCTCTCAACAGCTTCTCACACATCGCCATCAGAACCTTGTTCAACTGCCACGAGAAGTCCAGGGCCATGCCACTTCCTCAACGCCAGCGACGCTGGTTGCCTGTGTTGCGACTGTTGTACTTCTGGAACCTGAAGTAGACAATGGACCCAGGTTCAGGAACATCTTGGATGGTGCTGTTCCGGCCACGACTGAAGGGGGGAGGTCGAGTCATTGCAACCCTTGCAGTTTCTCTCAGAGCCATGAGCCGTATGTGACCAGGCTTGGTGTCCAGGAGGTCATACTCAGCAAGACGACTCTGGATGTCATTCAGCATATCTCCTTGAAGCCGGGGTTTCTTGCCCAGTGCTGCTTGAGCTGGACTGCATCCGGTTTCGTTGACGTCATAATTGTAGGCCGGCCATAGTAGCCTCACCCAACACTAAAGCCATTTCACCAGCACCAATCATGGAATTGGCAATGACCGTAGCTTGCAAAAACATTATTGAAGATTCCCCCACTTCGGTCCGCAATGCCGTTTTGCCACGGCGCCCCCGCTCCAATGTGCCAAAGTTGCCAAAGTAGCACTGAATGGTGAGAACAAAAGGCTTGCAGTTTTCAAGAAATGAACTCTCTGCCTTGATCAGCCACCAACGTCCTCACACGGCCAAAAACAGGCAGCCATCGAGTCCTCAGGAACTCCACCACAGCGCCTGCCGTCTTTCGCTCCACAATTGGCTCATCTGAAAGCGCGTGTAGAAGTCCGTGCAGTGGGCGATGTAGTACTTAGTGCCCTTGCAGTCCTCAGGTTCAAGTAGGTTGATGTGCGCCTGATCGGACACATCTCGAGGGTTGGGAAGAGACCCAACTCTCTGACTCTTTGGCGGCGCTCGTTCAGCGCAGATCGAACGCTTGTGCTCTTATGCAGCTTGAATGGCAGCTGCAGGTGCGCCTGGGATTGCCTTAAGGCGCGCGCCAGACGTCTATTGCTGCGATGTCCAGCGTTGTCGCGAAGACGGGCAATAGCAGCTCTAATACATGCAGGGATCTTCAAAGAATCCTTCGCGCCCTCGTCATCATCAGTCTCGCTATCTGCCAAATTCAAACCGCTGCCAAAGTCCTCCTCTGCCTCATCGCCGGCTGCATGGTTCACAGCCAGCGCCTCCGAAGCTTTTGTCGTCACTGTTGAGCTGTCGCTCCATGCCCAAAACGAAAGCACGGGCGAGTGGGCCAGGATAATGCCCAGCCCAAGCGGTCACGCCCTTTGCGCCAATGACATGGTCGTGCTCATGCGTGCGCTTGCGCTCTCCCGTCCAACATCGAAGTCACAAAACGGCTCGAAGATGCCACCCTTGTTGACTTTCTATAAACCCTCCACTGCGAAGTCCGTTGCCATAGCGGCACTGGTCAAAATCAGCAGTTGTGGCCTCTTGTTCGTCGAAGAAGCGCATCATTGAAGGCTCACGCCACGCTCCACTCGGCTTGGGGTTCTCAAGGAGGTAGTGCCTGCCACCTTCTTTCTGGATCGTAGCCAGCTCCAAGCCAAATTCCATGAGCGCTCAAGCTTGACGAAGAATCTCCTCCGGATTATTCGCTGAAGGGTTGAGCCTCATGAAAGGAGAAAAGCCACCACAAAAAGAGGCAATCATCAGAAAATAGGATTCCTCACGACGAGCAAGTGCATTTAATTTGCTTTCTCATGATGATCTTCACGAAGAAAGTCCCAGCCTCCAAGCTGAGTGGTGTGCCCGCGCGATGCCCTCGGCGAGCTGCTTCTTTCATCACTCGTTGAGTGTGGGTGTAGAGCTCAGAAACAAACGGGGCATTCTCATTGGGCATACCTTTGGAAGTAACGGTCTTCAAGGAAGATGTGCATGAAGAACTGGTGGGAGGTACCTTCAGACAAGTGGTCAAACCCACACCATGCACTCATCATTGACGAAGGATGCCATCTCCTTCTCGAATTCAGTGAGCAAGGCCTGGTGCACTTTGGTTTGAGAAGTTCCACAGCCCCGACGCTGATCCATCTTGTGCTTGTTCCATGCCTGAGAAATCAAAAGGGCTTGCCCACGCTTCTTCAACTCTTGTTGCAACTTCCAACGCTCAGTTGAATGGTCAGCACTGCAAACTCCCCATACTGGGCCGCCAGCTTCTCCTCGTAGACCGGCTCCATGAAAGCGCTGCATCTTCTCGCAACTTGCAGTCGGTCGGAGAGAGCTCGGAGGGGACGCCCATCTGAGCGTCTGAGTTCGCATCGAGTTCGAAGTGCTGAGCCATTGTCCCTAGAGTCTGGAGGCCGCCCAGTCCACCCGGAGCGGCTTGAAGTTGTTCCAGCGCTCGTCCAACTTGCCTCAGAATGTCCTCGAGAGCTGCGAACTGACGAGCTTGGTGAAGCTGAGTGCTGGGGTCCACTCGTGACCTCAGAGACGCCATGGAAGCGGGAGTGGCCTTTGGTGCAGTCAAGGCTGGCGCTGGAGTCGGTCTCGGTGGTGTAGTTGGTGCCGCCGGGGAAGTCGAGGATAAAGCTTTGCTCATCGCAGGCTTGGCCTTCAAGAGATCGACAATCGGCTTCGACTTTGCTTTGATCTGAGGGACGGTCATCTTCTCCTCACAGTTGTGTTCAACAAGGCGGCCGATTTCACCAGATCGCCTCTCAGAGTAGGCAATCCCCCGCGAGGGCCAATGAGCTCTCTGGCCTGTTGTTCTGCAGTCCCTTCTTGTTGCTTCCGCGGCGCAATTGCTGCACTTTTCAGTCAAGCGCTTGGCAGGTCTCGCTGCAAGCATTCCAGTTAACACGGGGTCCTCCAAGAAAGCGTATAGCGAAGTCCCATCCGGCTGCGAAGCCAGATGCAATCCGCCATCGCTTGGGCATTGAAGTGACCATGCGTCACTGCCTTCATGACCATTCCTTTCGGGAGCACTCCAGCAGATGGACGGTAGGCACGAAACGCATTGCAGGACGCCGCGCAAGCCAAAGCTAGACGCCCCACAAATGCCAGCTTAGCCGAGCAGCAAGTCTTCCGACCATTCGGCTCCAGCGCAGAAGCACTTGCTCTGGAGGACGGCCAACGCGATCGTGGTGATGTGCCTTGTCCGCTGCCCCAAACATCGCCAGCAGCTGAACTGGTAATCGAGCTCGAGGGGCAGGTGGTCGAAGAAGATGTTGTCACTACTTCGGCGCACGCGCTCCCGGGGACATCGACCTGGGGGCTTGGACCGAGCTGCAACGGTTGAGCTCTGCAAGGCCAAGAACCACACGGCTCGCTTTGACAATTGGCTCAGTGAGGTAGTGCTCATGCTGAAGGCTCTTGCAAGACTGTGAAGCGGCCAACTTGACTTTCAACCACTGGGAAACAGAAAGCTGAACTTCACAAACACCGTCAACCCCAAGCCTCCTCCACTTCTGAGTTCCCACGCCTTCCCATCGTGAAGGCATGAGCGGCAGCATGTAGTGACCTGCGGCCAACTGCTTCAAAGGCAATGCGGAAGATTGCAGGAACTCAAATTTGATCACCCGGTTGGCGACGGACATGTTGGCACCAACGCTCTCCAAAAAGTCGCGACCTAAAAGAAGACCAAGAGAGGGGACAATAATATACGCATCAAGGTGTTGCCAACCATGGTGGGGATCCGCCAATTCAATGCTTATATCCCACCTGAGTCCCCCCATCACCTGAGAGGAAGTTTCGAAGCCAATCTGAACCTGTGACCCTCCGGTTGCAGGCCGAATCCAAAGCACCAACCAAACGCTTGTCTGCCGACAATCCAACATGTACTGCGTGAACTTCTTGCTGGTGGGTTGCAGCATTCAAAGCATCGTTCAAACTTGCGGTGGGTGACACGCACGACACAGCCAACGCTTCATTTGCCGCATTCTCGGAAAGTGGGTGCTCCGTGTTCATGCTTCTTTGGCCCCTTTCGACCCAAGCCTGCACCAGGGTGTTGACATTCGGGATCACCGGCCCAATGGCCCAACTGGTTGCAGTCAAAACAAGGCAACTTTCCTTTCTTAGCAGCCATCTTGCTCTTCGGTGAGGCGGAGGAAGAAGGGTGTGAAGTCGACGACTTTTGCCATATCCACGATCCTTGCGAGAAGGGCTTCAGCTGCGCTTTCAACTGTGTCCTCCACGTCCTGGACCAGCTCAGCGCCGATCCCTTCTTCTGCAGCTTCCTCCAATTCCGTCGCCAAGATCTCTGCCTCGGCCTGAAGCACCTCTTCCAAGTATGGCTCCTAACCTTCGTCGCCACCTTCTTCATGTGGGTCTTCCTGCGTGTCGCCGCAAAGGCCTGTCGAGGCGGCGGCTTCTTTTGGAAGGAGCGGTCAGACCGGTAGGTCGTGTGACTCCGCTTAAGGAAGCAGACGAGGGGGCCGTTGAAGCTGCGTACGAACTCCGAGATGAAGGACCTCGAAACTGGGTGCGCTGCGAAGACAAGAACTTGTTCATAGGGCTGCGACCTCCATGCAAGTTATGTGCATGTTGAGGCCGTCAAGACAAAGGGTCAGCCACATGTAAGTCCTGAAACAATCGCAGCACTTCGACTTCCGTCTCCTCATAGCTCTCGCGGCCTTGAAGCGCCGTCTCAAGGAGCTGCTGCCGGATTGCGTCCAAGCCCAACTTCTGTTTCAAGAGCCAGCCAAGTTCGGAGCTAGGCAAAGTCACTCCTTCCATCTTCAAATCAGCAACGGCCGACCGAAAGCGAGTGCAGAACTCATTGATGCGCTCGCCTGGACGCCTCTTCAACTCAAGGTAAAGGGCATTCCTGAGGTCGCCTCTTTTGTCGAGCACGGTCTTGCCGTTGATGGATTCCAAGGCTTTGAGCAACTTTCGCAATCCTGCAAGTGGGTCCTTGGGTACAAGGACAATGGCTGTCTCCTTTTTCTGGTACTGGAGGTCTTGCGGTGTTCCTTACCTCTCTGTCTCACGATCCCTAACTGATGAAGAAGCCATCTCGCAGCCAGGTTGTATTTCTTTGTCCCTTCAAGGTCAAGGGCACTCATCCACCATTCCATCTCTTTCATGAAGTTGCGCCAACCTTGAGGGTTACCATCCCACACTGGAACGCGAGACCACGCTCCAGAGCCACCGTTCTTGTCCTCTTCTGTCATTGGGGCAAGAAGGTCAACCAACAAGCAAGGCAAAGTAGGTCGGCTCTATGTGTGTAGTGAAGCCAGCAAAGGGAGAGGCCAAAGACCTTAAGTGAAGGGCCTCAAACAAATTCAACGATCACCGCACTTTCCCTGTCCCTCAACAAGCCAAGGTGGACCGCAAGGAGCACCGAAGTCAAAGGCAGGAACAAAGGCGAAGATCAAGTCTCGTGCAAAGAGGGCGGAGGGGCGCAAAGCAAAGCGGCGGGCTCGAAGCGCAAACGACCAAGACCAAGGCTCCGGTGCCACTGTTGTATCTACGGCGCAAGCCAACACGACACGACGCGACCTTTCTCGCCGGACCTAAATGCCGATGCCAAATCAGATCAAGATCTAAGGGCCAAACATCACTTCAACTAAAATTAAGCCAGAAATCACATTATGGTGGTGAAGGAAGTGCTGCTCACTGCTTGGCCTTGCCTCTTGCAGTGCACTCTTCTTCGAGCTCTTTCTTTGACAGGCCGCTCCTTGAAAAACAAATATTAAACAAAGCACGTACGCCGCAAACATGTTGACTAAAGCAGCAAACAAACACACTCGCTTTCTTTGAGCCCTTTGCCAATTACGGTCACGAAATTTCTTCATATCCTGACAGCTGAGACGAGTTTGATTGAGATCATTTCAACTCGACAGCACTGCAAGCGCCTGAGATGGTGCAGAGGTTGAGATGTCTTTGTCCTAGCCCAAACGACCAACATCTGCCAACTGGGCAGCAACCGGGTTTCTCACCCCTGAACGCACCTCACCCCTGAACGCACCTCTCCATCTTTCTTTATCGCATCCTTTCCTTCACCACCCTTTCCATCGAAACTTGCCAAATCTGCCTGCCATCTCACCACGTCGTTCAGCCCTTCAAGTCCTTCTTTGCTGAGTTTTGCGCCAACATCCTTAGCAAAATCTATCCACCCTTTGGGGTGTCTCTGCCTCATGCTGTTGCTCCAGAGCTTCAAGGTCCTTTTGAGCACTTTCCTTCAAAGCACCTGAGAGGCAGCAAAAACCTTCTATTCTAGATAAAAGAGATACCTCTGAGTGTGCCTTTCAGCTTCTTGATTTTCTTTTCAAGCTCCTGGCCAAGCACTAGCACCAGATTTCTCCGGGCTTGCTTGAAAACTAGATCACTTGCTGTCACTGATCTAGCCTGCAAATACGAGCGCTGTGCATTGACATGGCTCCCTGTGTCCGCTCTACTGGAATGCATTCTGCAAGCAAGAAACACCTCTCGCTCCTGCCGCTGCTGCTTTTGCCGCTGCACAAGCTTTGACCTACCGTTTAATGTGATTTGCAATATTTGGTCGGGAACCTGCTCCTGCCTCTCAACATGAACTGCTTCCATGACGCTGAAATCTGCAAAATTCAGAGCAAAACTATCCTGCAAATCCTGCGATTGTCGGCTATGAATTACAGTAGGTGATTCAACCAAAATGAACTGGTACTGGTACTGCAAACTGGCGTAGTGAGTGTTGCGTTCCCATGTAACTGGCGTAGCGTTGCGTTCCCATGTGGTTGAAGGATCTTGTAGAAATCCTGTGGACCGAAATCTTGCCAAAAGAACTTGGATGCTGAAGGCCGTCAATCGAAAAGGATGGATCAATATTGAATCACTGTCAATACCTTTTATATTTGTTTTTTACGCTGAGTTGAGAGAGCTGGCTTTGCAGCATGTCCAGGCTTTACTTTTGGGGTCCGCGTGCAAGTGAGGCATCGCAAAACTCCTTTGATTCAAGCTGTGCCAAAGCTGAATTGTGATTGATTATATATAACGTGAGTCAAGTCAATTCAACATTGAGTTTAGAGTTGGTAGCACTAAGAGTTTTTGTTTTCTCTGAGAACGGCCGTTGAGTGTTGGTCCCCACTACTTCCCTTTCTCCTTGAGCTCTTCGCAATGCTTGATCAATCCCTCCACCTCAAAAATGAACATGTCCAAACTGTGTTCTGCTAGATGCTGCATGCCTGCCTTTTCGTCCCTCTCAGTCTTGAAGAGGTCAAGAGCCTTTTGAAGTTGTGTTTGTTCGCTCCAAGTGAACAAAAAGAGAAGGCAAGGAGGCAGGCTGTGCCCCCCTATATATCTATGTCATATCGCACTGTTTACTTTCGCTTCAAGTGCACCTCCTTCAAGAGGCCTGACGCTTGTAAATAGTCCTGAAATGGCCAAGAACACGCTTCATTGTGCACATGAGCCACGAGTATTCCATGGATTGCTTTGCAGTTCGCACCGATTACTGTAGCTTGAGCATTCTTGTGATTTTATGCCCTTGAATGTCATTCTACTTCCGCCTCCGCGAACGCGGCAAACTCACCTGCAACCTGCAACAAAACTAAGTCGGCTGCCAACTTTGAATGGATGTCATGCAACTTTCATGCAACAGCGTCCAAGACATTCCAGGACAATGCTTTAATCATCCTTTTCGATCCCTTTCCTTTTCGCGCAATCCGAAGCTTGGAGCGGCTTTGGCCAACTTGCAGAAAATTTGATGAGCACCCGACAAAGACTGTACCACGAGCTCTACATGCCGACTTAAATACAGCTTTGAGCTGCTTTTGAAGAGTTGACAGCAGGGGTGCTCCTTTCGTAACCTCCAACAACATGACTATGTTTCATATCTTCAATTAATAATCATCCATATAAATTTATGTTCACACCAACAGAAACGCACCAAGGTCACAACGCGGTTGTTAGGTTGTTACCTGTTCTTGCTTCTGTCGAATGGATAGACTCCCTTAGCTTTTATCCTAGCGGCCTACTGATGGATTGAGGCTTCTATATAGGCAATCCTTATTTAGACAACTTGCACCACCTCTGATTATGCGTATCAATGTATGCGTAATGTATGCAATAATTAATAGTACTTATGAAGGTTTCAGCACGTCCGCCATCAAAGTGCATGGGTCGCATGACTATGAAGCATTCCATTTTGTGATGGTCATGAATGATGTCCGTCACGCTGAAACTGCATCAGATCGCGAGCCACAACACTTAGTCAAAGAACATTCACTGTGTACTGTGTATGAAACTTCATGAAACTTCCGAGTGATGGATTCCAAGCAAAATACACAAGAATATTGAGAAGCATGAGACACATGAGGAATGAGACAGCACAAAAGGAATATTATTGTACGTCATTGTACGTCTTGAAAAAACCCTGTGCTATAGCCTATTGCGCACTAATTAATCTCTGCGCGTGCGCAGCTGTTTGGCAAATGGGGTGGATTCAGCATTGTTCAAAGCTGTCCTCGTTTGACCTGTGATCGTACCTTTTATATAATACCTTTTCATGAGTTTTTCTTCGTGTTAGCTGTCCTACATCAGTGAGAGGATCTATACGGTAACTTTTGATCGCTGGCGGGGAATAAAACTGATGTTGCACTTGACAGCAAATCAACGTAATTTCACAGCAAATTACAACATAATTGCCAAGAAACCACATCAAATCATTGCAACTCAATACCAGCAAGAAATGCCAGCTGTTGGCCAACACGTCGCTACATCAATTCACTCCAGCACATCACATATTGACACAATTATATACAATTATTGTATATAAAATAACTGCGCATCAGAGGCACCCATGGTGAGCCGCCCCATTCCATCTCACTTCATAATTGGAGGTGAACACGTCAACATAGCCACGCAGTACTGTCCACTAATGCTCTTCACCAAATCACACATCACCACATTAATACTACGTTCCTACATGCCACCACACATCACCCTATTACATAATGCGCAACCGCACTACATTCAATTATATACGCGTTATCACAATACGTTCTACATCCACTTTAACCAGTACACATAAGCACGTTTGCAGCGGAAGTCACCTTACACATCACCAAAATTATATAACACAGCGCACTGCATGAGACATTGTGAGGGCACTCAGTACTACAACACAGATCGCCAAAGACAGCATTGCCATGTCGCCCAGCACATTGCCACACAAAGGATCACTCCACTGCTTTCATCACAAAAGAAATTGGGAACGATGAACACAATGAAAGATTCAAAGCATCGTCCTATTGGTTCTCCGTTTGAAGCTTCCGCCCTATGCCGCTGGGAGAATGCCGCGAGACGTGCGTATCAACTACGGACAAACATCATTTCTTTGCACCTGGTTGTCTCACAAACTATTCCCATGAGTAGGCACTCAGCAAACCCAAGGCCGCTAAGCCCAGGAAGCCCCAAATGACGATTCCCTGCCACAGGGAATCACTGCACAACCGATAAGAACACTATTCACAAAACGCAAGGTGCCCTGCCACCTTCTGCCCTGCTGTCCATGTGTTGAAGCCGATGCCATAATCCTGGTTTTCAGCAAAGCCTGCCACCTGTGAAGCGCAGTAGAACCAAGTACAGCTAAGAAGTGGCAAACGAGACGATCAAATCATTTTCTTGCATGACCTCTTCGATCACTGGCTGAAAATCTGCCTTGGGCCTCAATGCGAGCGCCAGTAGACCACTTGCTGCGAAGTGCAGGTTTGAAGTTACATTCCAATCAAATGAATAAGTGAATAACATTGCAAACCACTGCGAAATATGCTCTAGAGATTCACCTCGTGGCTTGAGCAACGCCTTTCTGGGAATATGTTGGCAACACATCTGTGAGTTTGGACTACCAAAACGGATAGGCGGAGTGTCCAAAAAACGTGCCTGGTTGGCAGGAATATCCGCAGAATGAGGCATAGCATTGCAAAGCACCCATGAGAATGGGGCGGGTGCGAGTTTCCAAACATTTTTGACGAGCAGCACCTTCACTTGAGGCCACGGGGATGATCAAGCAAAACTTTGCTGCTAGCTATGGAGTTCGAATGTCGGATCAGCAAGTGAGCTGAGCATAGAGGCATCAACAAGTTTTATTAGGAGGAATCCTTGAAACATTTGTGCAGTTGTCAACCTCAGGATATCTCAGGATTGAGAACCGCGCGCGGTGTTCCCAGAGACCCAGCAGTTCACCTACCAAACAAGTTAGTTTGTAGTGTTTTCAATGCCAGGTGTGTTGGCATCTCAAATCCGTCCGACCTGCATGCACCATTGACTTACCGTCAAGAGCAGTACAGCTGGAGGCTTCTATGAAACGGCATGTGGCAACATGAAGTGAAATGAGAATAAGGTGGGGATGAGAGGTGAGTCGCTTAAGAAAATGATTGATTGGAACCACATTTCCTAGTAGAGCCCTAGAGCGGTGTAGGTAGCATAGAGGATGAGTTGACTGAGGAGAGATGAAATCTGCAAACTAGTGAAGCAAACACTAACAAATGAGAAGTGAGTTACTCGGGGTTGCGCACCAACAGTTTCGGAGTGTGCCTGCTGCTTCAGCACGCTTGAGCTGTCACGCCGACGTGAACGCCGCTGACCGAATGGTGGGTTCCTTCTTTGAGGGGGGCCGGTTGCTTTTGGTCCAACAGTAACTGCGCGCTCAGGCGGGAGAAGACCCGTCGATTACATGCATTTTTTTGACCGCAGCAGCAGCTTGCTTCCCTACAGCAAGCGCTCCTGGACCTACGCTGCTGCACCGTGCAATGCGCAGGTCGGTTGTTTTTCACGAGCATCAGTGCATGACTTGCGTGTTGGTGCGCTCATGACTTGTGGTTTGATTGACAGTGAACTCACCGATTTGCTCTCAGGGCAAACTGTCTGCTGTCAGCTTCAATGCGAACAAACTTTCGGCCAACACCGTCACCTCGCAAACTCACCGCGCGATTCAAAACTGTAGCTTCACAAGCAATGTGACATTCATCAACGTTTCGGTCAGAGAAGCAGAAAGTTGTCCCCCCACAATGCGTCTTGGAAATTCATCTTTCGATTGAAGAACAGCTTCGGGTTGGCTTTTCCATCTTGGCGCCTTGTTCTCTCAAGACGTTTCTGCCCGTCATGCATCCAATTTCTGCTCACGTCCCGGCAACCTATAGTTGAGTTTGCCAACCAATGATTGCCATTATCTTGGCCAGTGTCAGGTAGCTCAACGTACAACCTCTTGACTGCCTTAGGCATAAAGTGAGCGCGTTAAATTTAACAAACGCCCATCTGCAAGCAACAACGAGAACTCATTTTGACCAGCTCCCAAAGTGATGCGTTCCTCCGTGATTCCGGTTTTGCCCTCTGATCGTGGAACTTTCTCGCGCAGGCTGGTGCTTCGAACTCCCACTTCATTTCCTCCAGCTTTCCTTTTCCAACCAAATCAGCAGCAACTGCCCATCTGAATGTTATCAAAATAGTTGGCTGCTGCTGCCGTTGCCCAATCCTCATCGTGCTGCTTGTAGGTTGACCCTGAAGGCCTGAAGGAGCTGGGCCACCAACCTTGAGATACAACTCGCTCAAACGACGATCCTGTTGTACTTGTTGCTTCAAGCAAAACCGTCGCGACTAGCTTTGGGTGGCAATCTGGCGCAGACCCGGTAAGGACACCAACTAGCGCCACATGTTTGTCGCCAACACCTCGTAACTCATTCTTGCATCTCGGGTCAAGAAGCATGACAAAAATAGGGGTTGGCGACATATTTTTGGCGCTTGCGCGCTCTGTCAACTTACCCCTTAAGCGATTGCCATGACCCAAACACTCGCAAGGAAACGGTGTAACGCCCCAGGCTCCGCTGAAGCTCCATCACCCCCGGGTCATCCACTCATGAAGCCCCTGCCGGGGGCTCATGAAGGAAACACTTTCCATGTGTAGTTTGCTTGCTGCGGAGACGCGCGCTTGTATACTAGTTGGCTCACCTTCTTGCAGGTGGGGGTGCCCGTCAAGAAGCATATCTCAGCAACGCTCTCCTCGCAACTGAAGCTCCAAAGTGACCCTACTTTTGCCAGCTTGCTGAACTCTGGAAACCCCTCAGAGCCATCGCCTGCGTCTAACTACCAGCCTTCTGAAGCTTGCGCGCACTGTGAACCACTGCAATCTTGTGTTTTGACGAGTGAAGGCCCTTCGCAACTCTGCCAAAGTTGCAAGCTCGCTTGGGCAACTTCTCATATAAAAGCCATCCAGAGATCTCTTGTAGCTCGCTTGGCCTTCCCCATCCTTCATCTTCAGCCTGACAGAGTCCACACCATCTATGCCAACAAATGCAGCTCGCTGGATCAAATGAGCAAGGTTGTAGCTGATCCGCTTTCACGCGAGCCCAACCCCCTATTGAATCCTGGATCGTGCAACGCGGATGCTCGTCGAAACTCTGGGGCTTGGAAGCGTGTATTTTTGCCGGGCAAATTTACATACCTCAAGCCTCTACTTACGCACGCGTGATGGACGCATGGTGGGGTATGTATGTTCTGAGTTGGAAGTCTGTACGTTTCGCGGAGAAACTTTCGTATGCCT